TTCATTTATCAGATAAGAAATTTGGAGCTCTTCACACTATTAAGGAAGAAAATGTAGAAATTAGTTGTTTTTGTAGGGATTCCAATTGGTCTTTTTATAGTAGTATTTCCATGCAGTGAATACACCTATGCCCATGTCAAATTAATGAAATCGCATTTTATGATTTTTCTTTCCTAAAATAGAGCTACTTATTATCATACAATCAGTAGAAAGGAAATATTGCTAGTAGAGTGTAGAAAATGATCTCTGGAAGGTGATTTCTTCTTTTAAAAATATCTCCGGTAGTGGGGATATTGCATATTATTCTCAGTAAGCTGTATGAACTTTAGTATTCATAGCTGATAAACCTCATGTGGAAATTCTCTCATCTCTTAAACTCAGCTATCATGTTGACTTCATTACTTAGTCTCTTTATTCTTTCCTCATATGAACATTGGGTCCTGCTTGATAATCATAATTGTATGTGAAGAATTCTAAATCTTCAACTTGGGCAATGATACCTAAGTTTTTTTTTCTTTTGCTAGAATGTTTCTCCAACTTTTTAGTATCATCATATATGACAAAAATAAGAAATTAGAGCCATGAATATTCTGTCCATATAGGAATAAGAAAATCATGTGAATTTTAGAATATAGATATATATTTATTTTTTTCATTCAAGAACTTTTTCAAAAATGCCTAATAAGTCTTCAATGATTTAGCATTATTCTTCTTCAAAACTTTTATGATCAATTTTTAAAAAGGAGCTGTGCTGCACCATTTATAATTTGGTACTTTAGAATTAAATTTTTTAATGAAATTTAAAACAGAATGTTATAGTAATATACCAGAAATAAATATTTGCATGTATTAATAACAGAGTATATTTTATATATTATATCCTTGAAAAAAATGTTGAGATACATAACTGAATCGTGGAAACCCATGGTTTTTTCTTCCTGTGTTCATTTTCAAAATCTCAGAGTTCTGTGTAGGTTTACAGTATTGAGTCATACCAGTTCAGTATATTTTACAGATATTTGTCTTCTTAATGCCATGTGCATTCCCTGAGTGAGGTCATCTTCTCCTACTCCAAGTGTATTTATCCAGATAGGTCTTCTCAGTACCCTGCGTGTATCAAATTTGATGTTTCTCAAACTGAAGACACTGTCCTTCCCTCTTTCCTGACTCTTTGTCAGCTAGTCTATCATCTGTATTCCCCATCCTTGTACATACCACTCACCAATTGAAGTGAGACACAGAAGCATGAGAAATCCTGGACTCCAGGCCTATCCTCCCGTCACCAATGCAGTCACTCAGCACGTTCTGTAGTGTCAGCCTTCTTTTCAGTTTTCATATCATATGACCACAGCTCACTTTCTTGCCTACAGTTTTAAAGCACACTTTTCTAGTTTCGCGCCCCATCCTTACTTTCGTCTGTCTTTACACTGGTGCCAGGATGACCCTGGTAAAATAAGTTCGTGATGACGTAATTCACCAGCTTACTGAAAGGGTCCCCATGACACGAGGGGACGTTCACATGTGACCACGACCCGTGTCTGTTCCGGTTTTGCTCTGACGTCCCGTGTTCTCTGTCCACCCCGTTCCCGGTAACCGTGTTACAGCATTGCCACATTGCGTGTTACAGCGTTGCCACATTGTTGTGGTGCCCTCATTTGCCACGTCGTTTCATGCCTCATCCTTTTGCTCCTGCCGCCCTGGCTAGTATGCCCTTCACACCCTTCGTCTGCAATTTGTTTCACAAAACACAGCCTTGTGATTGCAGCGGGACCTGAGCTTCCCAAGAATGCCAGACTCTTTTCTTCCTCATGCTGTCCTGTAGTTTATTCACTTACAGAAGTAGAGAGTTACATTTTTTCTTCTTCATTTTGGTACATCTCTACCCCATGAAAATATAGGGCAGAATTTGTCTTCTCTGTATATTTCCGTCTTTTCTCTGGGTCGCACTTGTAATTTCATAGTCACAATAAATGATTGTTGCCTTACTGACTGACTGAGTGGGTGTGAGTGCATAAATAGAATTTTTCCTGAAGCTGTTCCTTTTTTTTTTCTTCCCATTAGGAAAAAGCAACAAAGCCATCAGTTGGAACAAAGGAAAATGGTATTGATATTTTTGAAAGTGCTCCATGTGAGCAAATCCATAATGACAATATGACTTCTGTTGCTGGAGTGTAGAAAGAGAATAGTAGGAGGAAGTTAGTACATATCTGTGAAAGTGTCTCTGTGCTGTACTGCGACTATAGAAAAATCTACTGAAAGTGTATAGAGCCCAATATGACAATGAGTTGTCTTGATGTTTTGCTATCTTTCTTCATATCCCCAAATTCATCCTGAAACTGCTTCGGCATCTGAAATTCT